CCCCCCCCAGTCAATGGTGTCCCGTTTTACCAAACGTTAAAATCTGGTCACCTTAGTCAGGATCCCCATTTAATATATAAAGAAACAGATTCAGAGAGGTGAAGAGGCTCATTGAAGGTCACACAACCCAGAAGTGGCAGAACCTGGCACAGAAAGCACGGTGTGGGTTTTTTCTGGAGTCTGGGGCTCTTGGAAGCAGGTGGAAGGGGCACTGGAGAGAAAAGTCACCTAGGGAAATGCTGGAAAAATGAGGCTGTTTTGAGCGTTTAGGAAGGGGGAAAAGGTAGGTAGACACCCAGCCCCCATACCTGTAATGCTCAGAAAACCATTCCTTGTTTCTGGGGTCCCCTCAAAGAGGGCTAGCTTCACAAAAGGAACCAATTTGCAGGATTCCTTGGTTTGCCCTGGGGCTGCGAGCCTGCACCAAAGGCGCCTCCTGGTGGCTATATCAGGTGCCACATGGCACCCAGAACCCAACCTGCCCTGGGTCTCGCCTTTCCTAGTTTCTAGATAAAAAAATTAAGATAATTTTAAAAAGAGGGTGAAATAGCTGCCCTCCGAACATATAACATTAACATTTTCATTCACCGATGGAGGAACCAGGCAGATGTTCTAAATGGTTCAAAACAGAGTCTGAAAAATACACTTTTATAGATGAGCCAATTCGTGTGAATGGTGGCAAATTGGTTTTTCCACAGGGGGATGAGAATTGTCAACTGAACCTCTGCTAGACGGGCTGGCATTTGCCCATCTGTACATAAGAATTATTTAGTTTGTATTGCTGACAGTTGCCAGACAACTTACAGTTGTAAAATAGTTCAAAGACAATGATATGAATCAGGTACCCCAAGGGTGTGTTTTATATAGATAATGCATTGAATGATCCATTGAATGAATAGAGCTCATTGATAGAAACACAAGATATTCCTGCAGAAAGAAGAAACCATTCATTTCTTCCTTCATTCAACAAACACCTGCTCATCTAGTGTCTACTGTGTGCTGTTCTAGGTACTGAAGACAAAAGCCGGGAACAAAAGTCCAGCACTTGAGAAGCAAACCGGCATAAAGTAGCAAAGTGGCCCTGGCTAAGACAATTGAACAGGCCCTCTCCGGGAGATAGGGAAGGCTTCTCTGAGAATGTGCTGTCTGGGGAAGGGCAACTTGTAGGGAGGGGTAGGAGGCAACTGTCAAATGCAAGGGCCAAAGGCAGGGCAGGGAGGAGGGTAGCCTACAGGGAAAGGGGAGTGTATGTTGGGCTGGTATTGTTTTCTGCTTTCCCTAGAATGTCAATTCTTAGCTCTGCTTAGCCCAGAATTTGGCACAAAATAGTAAATGTTGATTGAGCAAAGCAGCTCCATCTCTAAGGGTAGAAGTCACTCTGTGTCTGAGCTGGAGGGCCCAGGTTCCCTAGCGGGGGCTCGAAGGTGTGCCCTGGGGGTCATGCAGCCAAGCTCTAGAGCACCAGCCGGAAAGAGGGGAAGGGAGAGCCATCCCTGACCCCCCCCCCCACCTCCAGTCCAGGGTTTGGATCCCATCCTCCACCTGCTTCCTGCCCCATAGAAACCTCCAGGGCTGAGTATTCACACAGAGGCATGAGGAACCCCAAATGCAGTCTTGTTCTGTTGCCATTAATTCTCAATTTTTCAAGTTATTAGGAATTTTTTGTGAAATCCTCCTGACCATGCATACTCTTTTTGATGTTAAAGTTCACAAGAAATTCATTAAAAGTGTACAGTTCTCGGCTCGGCGCCTGTGGCTCAAGTGGCTAAGGCGCCAGCCACATACACTTGAGCTGGTGGGTTCAAATCCAGCCTGGGCCTACCAAACAATGATGGCTGCAACCAAAAAATAGCCAGGTGCTGTGGCGGGCGCCTGTAGTCCCAGCTACTTGGGAGGCAAAGGCAAGAGAATCGCTTGAGCCCAGGAATTGGAGGTTGCTGTGAGCTGTGATGCCACAGCACTCTACCCAAGGCAACAGCTTGAGGCTGTGTCTCAAAAAAAAAAAAAAAAAGTGTACAGTTCTGTAGCATTTAGTGTATAACCACAGTGCTCTTCTACTTTTAGCACATTCACCCCTAAAAGAAACCCCATCCCCATTAGCAGTCACTTCCCATTCCCCCCTAACTCCAGCTCTGGTAGCCACTAATCTTTGTCTCTGGATATGCCTGTTCCGGACACTTCACATACATGGAGTCATACACAGCATGGCCTTTGATGTCTGGCATCTTTCACTTGACTTGATGTTAGTGAGAGTTCAACATGTTGCAATGTGATCAGCGCTTTGTTCTTGTTTATGGCTAATATTCCATTGGTTGTATATGCCAGTTTATCTGTTCGACTGTGGATGGACATTTGGGTTATTTCCACCTTTCAGCTATTGAGAATGGTGCTACTATAGACATGGGTATGAGTCTGTATGTGAACACTTGCTCACTCTTCTTTTGGGTGGATGCCTTAGGAGTGGTACTGCTCGGTTATATGGTAATTCTATGAGGAACTTACTGAAGAACTGTCCAGACTGTTTCCCTTGTTTTTTTTTTTTTTTTTTTTGAGACAGAGCCTTAAGCTGTCCCCCTGGGCAGAGTGCCGTGGCATTACAGCTCACAGCAACCTCCAACTCCTGGGCTCAAGCGAGTCTCCTGCCTCCACCTCCCAAGTAGCTGGGACCACAGGCGCCCGCCACAACGCCCGGCTATTTTTTTTTTGGTTGCAGCCATCATTGTTGTTTGGCGGGTCTGGGCTGGGGATTCGAACCCGCCACCTTAGGTGTACGTGGCTGGCGCCTTAGCCGGTTGAGCTATAGGCGCCGAGCCAGACTGTTTTCCTTGTTAAAAAAAATGTCAGTTCAGTGACTACCACATTGTGGGACTAAGAAAACACACCTGGGATACAACTGGGGTTGGCTGCTGGTGGTCCCAAACCCCTGCCTCCTTGGTGGGTGAGATGGTGAGCCACCAGAAAACTAGTTACCACTGTCTTGGGTGAGCACCAGCTGTGCCTGGAGGTACCACCCCTCAAAGATAGCCATTTGATATCATCCAACTACAGCCTATCTGCCACTGTGCTGTGACTCTGGTCTAGCTCATGGCATAACTCCCAAAAGATTCCACAGGTGCTGTCTGGCTTAGCAAACCCAACCAACAACTTGAGGGTCAGGGAGCCCTGGGATGGACAGGAGAGAATCCTGGTCTGGTGAGAGTTAAAAGCAGCAGATGGCCAGCTCAGAGTGTGAATTGTGACTCTGCCAGCTTTGGGTTCGAGTCTCAGCTGTGGAATGTCATATACAACCTAGCCTAAAGTGTTAGAACTGTACCTGGCCCATACAGTGTTAAATACTAGCTGCTATGTTTTTTTTTTTTTTTTTTAAAGCCAGCACTCTTTCCAGGTAACACTGTGTAGTTTTTGAGTGCACACTGGTTTACTCAGCACTGTGACCCTATGAGGTGGCACCTGACCTACCGATTTCCAGCTCATCCCTCGTTTTGACTTTGGTATCTTGGTGGAAGAACTGCAGCTGAGCAGGGAGGCTGGAGTGTGTATTTCAGGGTCAGAGGAAAGAAAGATTCTTGCCAGCTCCCAGGCTCTGAGATGGAGGCACAGAAGCCCAGTTGTCCTTCCGTGGTCCCATGGCTGGTTATGGTGGTGGGACAGGGCAGGACAGGTCCATTGGGGAGGATCAGTGGGCTCACGTGGCCCTGGTCTACTCAAAAATCCATGGCACCACAAGAGGAACAAAACCAAGTTTATTGCTCAGGGTTAAACCAGGAAAGAGACAGGATTGGGGCAATGGGACTGAGGAAGGTGGTGACCATGTTTTTGGTCATGACTGGGTTCTTGGAAACCTTGGATCTACTGATCACCTGCTCATGGGCCAGGTCCCTACAAAGTTCTAGGTACAGCCTAGCGCTGGGGGCAGGGTCTTCTTCTCCTGCGCAGCTGCAGGGTCACCTGCAATGCTGGAGCATGGAGGTGGGGCTGCAGTGTTGACCTCTGCTGGGGCTGGTACCTTTAGGTCTTAGTGGAGGAGGCGGCTGCCCCCTTCTTTTTGGCTGGAGCCTTCAACAAGGTCAGCTTCTTGGGCAGGCTGCTGCTGGCTTTCATCACCACATCATGTTCAATCTTCTTCCGGATCCCAACTTCCAGGTTCTAAGGGGCAACCATGGGGCAGTCAGCCTGGGACCTGAGGTAGAAAGAAGCCCTGACCAGGTGGCCTCTCCCTCACCAGTGCTCATAGGGTGCTGGATCACCAACTATCCACTCAAGCAGCATCTGACTGGAGGTTTAGTGGTTGGGATTTTAATCCTACTTTTGTTCAACAATCTTTGGGGCTCAACACACAAAAACCATTTTCATCTCAGCACCTTAGCTCTGTTTATGCCTGTTTTACAAATGGGGAAACTGAGGCTCCTGCAGCAAGGAAGCATTTGCTTAGGGTCCCCAAACCACGTGGTGATGGACTGGAACCTGGTGTCCCTACAGCCCTTGGTCCCAGGCTCTAGTGTGCAGCCTCTTCCTATCCCATGTCATCTCTGCTTTGCAGATGGTGAGCTGGGGTGGGTATGGGAGCCACCAAGAAAACCCACAGGGATGGAACAAAACCCAAGTATCTTGGCCCCAAACTGGCATCTCAGTCAATGGTATCACTGCCCCCTGCCACTCCTTTGAGTTACAAAGACCACAAACACCACCACTGGGGGAACTAACCATGTGCCTGGGTGTGGTGCAGGAGACAGAGCCAGCACTCAAAGAGTGTGTATGGACAACATAAATGTCAGTGATATAATGTTAAACTGTTAAAGGACAGTAAGTGCCACTATAAAGAAAATAAAGCAGAGTGAGGGGTGAAGGCTGCACTGAAATGAGTGGGAGGAAGGGAGCTGTGTGGATTTCCCAGAGAGACGCAGAATTGCTGAGGTGGGACAAGAGGCTGGCAAGGGACCAGGAAGGTTGGAGGGAACAAGTCAGGGGAGGGTAGGAGATGTGAGAGATTATGCAGGGCTTTGTGGTTGAGTTAGGACTTGGTTTTTCCTGAGTGAAGTGGGAGCCATGGTGAGTTGTGAGCAGAGGAGAGGTGGGACCCCACTCAGGGCTCACAATTGCCCACTGGCTGCTGAGGATGGGAGTAGGAGACCAGGGAGGTGACTTCACTGGTCTGTATGAAGATGACATGGGAAATGGGTGGATTGTGAACTTTTTTTTTCCTTCAGTTTTTGGCCAGGGCTGGGTTTGAACCCACCACCTCTGGCATATGGGACTGGTGCTCTACCCTTTTGAGCCACAGGTTCTGCCCTTGTTTTTTTTTGAGACAGAGTCTCACTATGTTGCCCTCGGTAGTGTCATGGCATCACAGCTCACAGCAACCTCAAACTTTTGGGCTTAAGTGATTCTCTTGCCTCAGCCTCCCAAGTAACTGGGACTATAGGCGCCTGCCACAATGCCTGGCTATTTTTTTGTTGTAGTTGTCATTGTTGTTTAGCTGGCCGGGCCGGGTTCGAACCCACCAGCCCTGGTGTATTTGGCTGGCGCCCTAACCACTCAACTACAGGCACCAAGCCTGTGGACTAGTTCTTTAGGAAAAATGGATGGAATCTCCATGTGAGAGAAAGGGGAATTCAAGGATGACCCTCAGCACCAGCAAGGACAGAGTCATCCTAAAGTAAGATTGGCCAATCATGGAGGTAGAAGGAGAGAATGGGGAAGCTAGGATCAGGAACTTGTTTTGGACATGCTGAATTTGAGGTACCAATGAGAATCTCCCTACTCCCCCCCCACCCAAATCCTGTGATCCCAGAGCTAAGCAGACTGCTAGGTACCCAGCTCTGAGAAAACTGATGCTCTGTGGGGACTAAACAATTTGCTCAAGACAGTAACAGGGCTGGTTACTGTGGAGCATAACTCAAATCCAGGTTTGACTCTACCCAAACCACAGTTTTAAACCTCTTTCCAACTTCTCTGCAAGTGCAACTCTACCCACCTATATAAAAAAGCTGCACTTAAGAGACAACCATAAAGATGAGGATGATAACCAAAGTGTTAGGTAATTAGGAAAAGTTCTCCTGGGGAAGGAAGACAAAGGCTGAGCTCTCAGACTGGCATCTTAGTGCCACCCACCTCAATTTTATCCCAAATGATTGCTCACTTCTGGGAAGGAGGGAACGCGCTACCAATCTGCCAGTCAGAACTTCGCATGCCAACTGCAAAAGGATGTAGAGGACTCCCTAGACTAACAACAGGTATAATACAGTCTTGAAGATGACCTACAACAGCGTTAATTATCATGTGGCCCATATCCCTCCCGATGGGCTTTTAGAGAGGCTAAAGGGAGGTCTGCATGTGCTAGACTCTGGTTCCAAGGTGACCTCTGAAATCATTATGTAGATCCAACCTAGCCAATGGAGGCCTGTTTGCTGTCTACGGTGAATGTATCCCACTGTGGAAACTCTTTTACCTTGTAAACCCTCTTTTATCTCAATAAACTTCGTTTTATGCTTGCCTTACTTTGCAGTGTTTGTTCATTTTTTGACCAAAGTGCCCCCAGAGCCAGGGTCCAGGCAGCTGCCTGAAACCTTGGCATTTTAGGAGACAGGCAGTTGCCTTGAAACCCAACAAAGGAACGTCACACTTCTGAGCTCCGTGCTGTTCTCAGAGCTTTATAAGCTATGGTTCTGAATCCTTACAACTCTAAACAAGTGCCCTCAGTATGGCCATTCTGCAGGGAAATGGCTCAGGATAAAAAACTACTCACAGGCTGGACAGGATGGTTCAGGCCTGTAATCCTAGCACTCTGGGAGGTGGAGGCACATGGACTGCTTGAACTCAGGAGTTCAAGATCAGCCTAAGCAGGAGTGAGATCCTTGCTCTACTAAAAAAAAGAAAAATCTGCTGGGGGTTGTAGCAGAGGCCTGTACTCCCAGCTATTTGAGATGCTGAGGGCAAAGGATCACTTGAGCCCAGGAGTTTGAGGTTGCTGTGAGCTATGATGATGCCACAGTACTTTTCTTGCCTCAGGCTCCCAAGTAGCTGGGTCTACAGGCACCCGCCACAATGCCCAGCTATTTTTTGGTTGCAGTTGTCATTGTTGTTTAGCAGGCCCCGGCTAAGTTCGAACCCGCCAGCCTCGGTGTATGTGGCTGGTGCCCTATCCACTGAGCCACGGGTGCTGCCCCAGAGCGACACTTTTGAATAGGAAAGAAAAAAAAAAAGGCCGGGCACAGTGGCTCATGTCTGTAATCCAGCACTTTGAGAGGGAGAGGCGGGTAGATTGCCTGAGCTCACGAGTTCGAGACCAGCCGGAGCAGGAGCAAGAGCAAGAGCCTGTCTCTAAAAATAACCGGACGTTGTGGTGGGCGCCTGCAGTCCCTCCTACTTGGGAGGTTGAAGCAAAGAATCGCTTGAGCCCAAGAGTTTGAGGTTGCTGTGAGCTATGACACTACTACACTCTACCGAGGGCGGCAAAGTGAAACTGTCTCAAACAAACTGCTATTCACTAAAAGAGTCAAGCGCTGAGATTGGCACCCAACACTTAATACTTACAAAGCTAGATTTTCAACTCCCCGCCCATTCCATCTCCCTTCCTGAGTTCCATTAAAGAGAACAGAAAAACGAAAGCAGCCAACGTTTTCGGAACACTTTGCACTCTAAACCTTGCTTCTATGAAGCCTCATTGAACCGTAAGTGGTGTTCCTGCACCCGTTGCACTGGGGAGGAAGGGAGGCTCACAGCACAGAGCTGGTGTTCTCCAAGCTCCATCCCTGTTGCTCGGCCCGCCCCGTGTTCCACCTTGGCTCCGCCACAGGTCCCTGGGTTCCACTCCTGAGCCCTACACACCTTCTTGAGCTTCTGCTGCTGCACGATGCGCGCCTTCTTGGGAGCGATAACACGACCTGGGGAGAGACACGTTCTCATGAGGCCGGGGAGCCCCAGGCCCACCTCATCCTTCAGTCCCTGGCCCGGTCCTCACCGCCTTTCCTCGGGCCCCGGTTCCGGTCAGAAGCCGCCGCTGCATTCTTACTCTTCGCGGGTTTGCGAGCCTGGAACTTGCGCTGCCCCTGAGCCATGACCGAACACCCACCGGAAGAGGCGGTGCTGTGAGAATCGCACACGGAAGACGCAAGGCACCATGGGATGGAGCGGGGCAAAACAGCGCAAGGAATCATGGGAGACAACGTGGCACAGGAATTAAGACAACAGCACGAAAGGGGACAACAATAAGCTAATATTTAATTGCTTGTTTATGTGTTTTATAGAACATACTATTTTGTACTCTTTGTACATAAAATCTCAGACTAGGATTAGGGTGAGGCAAGCGAGGCAATCACCTCCGGTCCAAAATTCCAGGGGAGGCCACAAACTTAAGTAATCAAGATATACCATATTTTCAAGAATTATATTGTTCATCATGAATTTTTTTGCATTCATTTCGATTTAAAAAAATATTGCTTGGCAGGGTTCAGTGCTTCATGGTTGTAATCACAGCACTTTGGGGAGCCAAATCGGAGAACTGCTGGAGGCCAGGAGTTTGAGGTTAGCCTAGTAAACACAGCCAAGACCCTGGTCTTTTCCAAATGGGAAAAATTACCTAAGTGTGGTGGCATGCATGCCTCCTAGCTACTCAGGAGGCTGAGACAAAACAAAACAACACAAAGAACATTTCTTGTTTACCCTGGTTACTGAGCTTTTTTGATGCTCTTTAAAATTTTTGCACCAAAAATGTTATCCTAGTTCCAGCTGTGACAGCAATCTTAAGAGGGAGATACTAGTATTATCCCCATTTCAAAAATAAGAAAACCAAGACACAGAGGTGAAGTGATTTGTTTAAGATCACACTGTGGCAGAGCTGGTATTTGAAACTGCTTGTAGGCTACTAGGCTCCTAAGATCTGTGCAAAGACCTGTCTGATTTCCCTGTTCTAGGAATAAGTGTGATTGAGGGCAGGAAGATCAGCTTTTGGTTAGGGCATTCCAGAAATTTATTAAAAACCTGAGGGATGGGAACAAGGTAAGGAGAGCTGAGTTGTTTACATCTGGGGTCTATCTGAGGAAATGGTGGTGGTTAGGGCTGCCCGCAGCTCTTCCGGGGCAAAGACCCCCAGCTCTGTGATGATGCCACCAGTGATAAGCTCGTGTGGGGTGACATCAAAGGCGGGATTCCAAACAGCAATCCCTGCAGGGGAGAGAAGGGAGGCAATGAGGCTGGATTGACTCCGTAAAAGTTCTTAAGTGTTGTCACTTGACTGCACCACAGCTGTTCTTGGTATTCTCTCAAGATTCTGGGGTTCCTCATCCCAAAAAGTCCACAAAGACATGGAGACTGTACCTAGGAACAAGTTTAGACTCCTGACTGCTACCAAAACATCACTGCCCAAGAAGAAATCAAAGTCATATACATCTACTGCACTGTCTGCTCTAAGCATCTCTTTAAGATCAGAAGGTACCTTGGTGCCTTTGGTTAGGCTCCTCCCCACCCCATGTTCTTCCCTAGATACGCAGATGACTCACTGTTTCACTGTATTCATCTTTACTCAAATGTCACCTTCTTCATGTAGCCTTTCTTGACCTGTCTAAACCTCCCTATACGTACACTTCCTCTACCCTTCTGTGCTTCCCTTATTTCTCCTTAGGGAGCCATTAGTCTCTAACATACACTATAACTTTGTCTTGTTTTGTTTCCCTCACTGGACTGTTAGCTCCTGTGGGCAGAGACTTAATCTGTCTTTTTCCATTGTGTCCCCAGCACCTTGCATGATTGCTGGCACAAGCATGCACTAAAAATATTTGCTGACTGGACATTGTGGCTCATGCCTGTAATCCCAGCACTTTGGGAGGCCAAAGCAGGAAGATCACTTGAGGCCTGGAATTCAAGACGAGCCTGGGCAACAAAGCAAGACTCTGTATCTACAAAAAATAACAATATTGGGTGGCACCTGTGGCTCAAGGAGTAGGGCGCTGGCCCCATAAACCGGAGGTGGCAGGTTCAAACCCAGCCCCCGCCAAACAAACAAAAACAATATTAACTGGGCATGTGTTATAGTCCCAGCAACTTGGGAGATAAGGCAGGAGGATCACTGGGGCTATGATCTGACCACTGCACTCTCTTGAAGAAATATAAAATAGGGGGTGTGGTAGTTTAGGCATGTAATCCTCTCACTTGGAGAGGCCAACGTGGGAAGCTCATTGGAGCTCAGGAGTTCAAGACTAGCCCGAGCAA